AGGGAAGGGGTCGAGTCACCATCCCTGGAGGTATTTAAAAGAGGTGTAGATGTGGCGCTTAGGGACATGGTTTAGTGGTGGACTTGGCAGTGTTAAGTTAACGGTTGGACTCGATGATCTTAAGGGTCTTTTCCAACCTAAACGATTCTATGATTCTATGATCAGAAAATATAATGAGCTTGAGGCTGGTTAAACGCAGTCGAGCGCCTTTGAGACAAAATTATGAGATAACAGGTGTCAGGGGGCTATCTGGACCTGAAACCGAGGAAGAGTTTGCAACAATATCCAAAAATGAGCCTGTGAACACTGTAAGGCAGCAGGCTAGCGACTGAAAACTGTCAGTTTGTCCATCACTGCGGCTGTGACCACGTCGCGTGCAGTTGTAGGCTTGCTGATAACAGAAATATGTCAACAGTTTGGCAAGATTTCAGAGAACAGGAGGGGGGAAGGGGTTCCCTTTGGAGCTCAGGACTCTCAGGCTCTGTCCTTGTCACTCTTGGCACGTTCTGTAAGTTTGGGACCTGAGGACCTTAAAAGGACTGAACCAAATTCCTCCTTAAGCTATTTCTAGATACAGAGGTGCAGGTTTGCAGCAGTCAGCCGAGCAGAATGGCAGCAAACTTGGCTCGAACTCTTTTGCATAAGTAAGTAATAAATTAACGAGGTGAGGAGCATCCTGCTCTTCCTATTTTTGGAAAACAGTAAGTGTGATCCCAGTAAGTATGAGGAAAAGCAGTGGGAAAGGGAATGACATAAGCAAGTCAAGGTAATGAGAAAACAAATCCTGCTAGGATGCAGAATGAGAAGTCCCAAGAGTCCTGTTATTGAAGTACTTTAAAAATAGAAGAGAGAAAAAAATGAGCCATTCTACACTGACAGAGAGTAGGGAACTGTAGATCTTCACCTTTGATTTCTATATAAAAATTGTGAGAATGAGTCCTTTATTCAAAGAAATTGCTACAACTATTCTACTCCTACAACAGATTTTTTGTTTGACTGCAAAAATTTTAAAACCTCAGGATTTGTTCTCGTGGCTCTAACTTCAAATACAGTTTCTTGGGTTTCAATGGTTTTTTCCCCCTTTTCTAGGAGAATAAGGGAAACCTCTCCTTTACCTCTCACTTTCTTCCACCCCTCTCCTCCCACCTGTGTGCAGAATCTGGATATTTAAGCTAGGTATTTAATTGGAATGTTTGTCTGCACAATGTTAGTAATTAAATCCATGGTAAATCTGGCAGTCATATGAACTCAGCATTTTTTTTAAATGAGAGATTACGTAATCATTTATAGTCTGAACTGCATCTGTCATTTAAATCTGTTTGTAGTACTTCTTACCGTGAGTATGCTCATCCTGGATATGTTTATACTGATTCACAGAAAAACTTATCTCATTTACTAGTTCCCAGTATGGGAACAATGGATCATTCATGCCCTCAAAGCAACTCTTAAAATTGTTTGAACTCTTAAAGTGAAATGAAACAACTCATAAAGAGAAGACAGTATATAAGCTACCGTTCACAAAGAATTCGGTTCACCTTGAGCAGTGATCTCGTACGTTAGTATTCGTGATCATAGATTTTAAAAAAATTATTAAACAGATAAACTTGCTCAGGAACACTAATATCTTTTTAAATTATTATACAGTAAAATAATAATGTTTCAATCAGAATTGTATTTGGCTTAGACTATGGGGAATAGAAAATTCAGATCCAAACTATTGCATAATGTTTTGTGAAGGTTTATGTTAAAATCTATCTTCTGAATTGCCCAAGCAACATGTAAACATATGGTCTCAAAATACCTTTTTAAACAGCTTCTCACCGCATATAGCAATATTCTAATTTATTTTCCCTTCTCCATCTTCTCTGTACTATCTCATATATAGTAAACAATTTATAATAGACATCTTTTTGCTTTAATGTTTGAAGTTTGGCGTCAGAAAATAATTTCTACTAAGTGGATGAACTGAAGAATCCCATCTTGCTGAATGAGCCTGTACCCAGCAGCCATTAGCTGGGACATACACAAACAGGAATATCAACCAGTGGTTTTGTCATGTGATCTCTTCCACTGCACACACAAATATAGAACATGACCATAAAAAGTAACAGAACATGCTCTCTGCGACATAATTTATTGCAGTATGCCAGCTGGAATTACCTTCTCGGCTCCTACTATTTTCACATGTACAGATAATAAAGGCTGTGCACTGGAACAGATTCCAAATGAAAAAATACCAGCATTATTAACAAGAAGCAAAACTCTGCAAAAGCAACTTCAGTGGGCTTAACTTTGGAAAATGTTTGCTAGTGACTCATAGCAGGAGTTAAAGAGCTAAATGAATACTAGGGCTTCAACATTTTCATAGAGGGGAAAAAATACTGCTTTTTATACGATATACATTTCTCTCTTTGCTGAGCACAAAAAAATCTAAGGATTATTATACATATAGGAGCTTTCTTTTTGTCTGAATTCCTTATTCATTAGTTTGTAAGCTGCAAGAGCTGAGCTAATTTATTTTTCCAGGGCATTTTCCCCTCCCTCATTTTTTTTTTTAAAGGCACCATGTATGACATCCCAACATGACAGGAACTCAGTAAATCCCCTCAGTCTCCACACCGCTGTCTCTGAATGTCTACAAAGCTACTATGCCATAATCGCAACTCGCTGGCTCATTCACAGCTTTACATTATAAAGCAAACAGTCTAGACAGCTGAATGACAGAATTACTCTCTTTTCTCTTGCATTTATAGATATGCTGTCATCTTCATTTGCTTTTCTCTACTCTGTGCATTCTGATACACTAATGATTAGCTTTCCTGTTTGGATTCCACACTGACTCCGTGGCTCTAGGCAATAAATACAACCAGAGCCCAGATGACATCACATCAATAAGGTCCTGGGGGGAGGACCCCTGCTTCTTTCCTTCTCCTGGCTTAGCTGGTGATAACCAGCTTTTTCAAAATGGTTAACCAGTGTGGCTTTACAATAGGATTTTTCTCCCCATTGAGATGAGATATAAAAAGCCTAGTGCCTGGAACTGTCACTCTCTGCAGTGGAAAATATTGCTCAAGTTGCACAGTATAGGCAGCCTTCAATTATTCTCAGGTCTGTCTATCGTATAGCTGAATGTACCAGTGCAAAAGTATGTGCAAAAAAGAGAAAAAGAATGAACAACAATATGTGTTTGGATGCCTATAAAAAATGTGTCCCTAGCAGTCTTTATGTTAAAAAAATGGAAGTAACTGGACTGGGTTTGTTTTCACTCGGAAAGAAACTTTAGTCTGTAATATTCCTGGTATTTTAACTTTGGAATGATGTGTACACACATATAATGTGGCATTTCCTCAGTGCTAAAAGATAGTTAAATGATAAAAGTATACTTTCTTGCCTTCAACAAGTTGCAGAAATCTATGCAAGCCCAGTGACATGCAACTAAGACATATGGATACACGTGGCCAGCTCTGGTAATGTTTGTGACAAGGTTTTTATTATTTGTTCCTTTTCCTAATGCTTCTGTAACTGTCATTCTGGATTGCTGGATAATCTCTTTTTACATCTGTTCTTTTTTTGGTTTTTGCGTGTTTTGTTGCCATTTTTAAAATGAGAGTTTCTAAACTTTACAGCTGAAAAAATCTCAAAGCCTTGACTTGAGGTCAGAAAGTTGTAAGGGTAAAAGTAGGGAGAAGCCATTGCCATTCTCACTTGAAAAGCAGAGAAAATCATACCGATAGTAGATCAGCACAGGAGGCCAAAGAGTGAGCCGCAGCTTTTACTCTTACCAGACCTGGGACAATACCAACACTTCAGAACATTGCATTACATTATGGGCCATCGGAAACTGTGCATTGGGGAATAGTTTACCTATGAGCATGAAGAGTTTTGTGGGCCACTGGGTGCAATTGTATTCACAGCCAATATAAATGACTGCTTGAGGCCTGTACCAATGGGAATTTTGCCTGTTCTCTATGAGTCATGACCCACTTTTACTCTCGGAGATCAGGGACAGCTGGAAAAACAACTGATACCTTCTTGCTTGGAACTCTATAAATCTAAAGTCTTGCCTGGAATATCTGTGCTTTTTTCTCCCCTTGAGTACTCTTGCCATTAAGACATAACAATCAGAAAAAAAACTTCTAATTTGTGTCTCTAAGAACAATAGTGACAGCAAAATTTCAGTAATTTATACCAGTTGCAGAGAGTTCTGATTTGAAAATACAGAGTTTAATGAACTATGGAGCAGGGAGCTAGTGGAAGACGACAGAACTGAAGGCCGTGGAGAGACTGTGCAAGTGAAGTCTTCATTCTCTGCACGCTCCAAGAAGGAATGTTCGAGGGTGGTCCCACAGAAGGGCTACATGATCGCTATTCCCAGCAATGATAGTGCTATTGGCCAAAAACTCGTGCCCTCTAGTAACTACAAATGAGATTTCATAACAACTCCACAGCTTCCCTGAGCTTCCTAGTCGTGAGGGGAGGACTTAAATAGTTGCCACTAAAATAAGTACATAAATCAACTTGATATAAATTGTTTTTTCAGTTTCTTGACAAAGTGTTTTGCCTTCCTTCCAGAATTGGCCTAACCTGGACCTCAGCTTGGAGAATACTGAGTCTATGGGCCAGGATTGATTCTTCTCTCACTAGCTTATACCCTGACTTCAAAGTCTGTCATATAGCATCCCTGGGGGGCTAGCAAAAAGTCATTCTACTCCATGGCATTTCCAGCTTCCAGAGGAACACTGATCACACAGCCGTAAAGTGGAAATCTCCTTTGGTTTCTTCAACGATCTCATATAGATTGGTACAGAAAAGGTTCTTAACTCTGAACTATGACTTCCTGATTATTACAGTGCCATGCTAATAACACTGAAAGCAAGCCTCTAAGTGCACTGTATAAATAAAGTAACAAATAAAAGCAAATGCAGGGATTGATATTAAACATATGGGAACACAGCCTTTTTAATACACTGCCTCTTGAAACGCTAGGTCACTTTTCTTACCTCTTGAGGCTCTTGACATTGAGATGCTAACACCAGGAAAGATCTCTGCGCTTGGAAAGCAGCACGTACCATCTCTGCCTGTAACAAAAGGAGGAATATAAATTAAACCTTAGCCTGTAACCTCCAATACCTCTTCTTGGCAGCTCAAAGTCAAGTGTGACAGCTCAGATCTTTCTTGCTGCTTCTCATCTAAATCACAGCAACATTGACTGGAAGAAATGTATTACAGTACTGGCTTAGCTATAAATTTTTTTGAAATCTAAGGTTAAAAGTTCCCTATCTTCTTCAGGTAGGAAATAAAACGAGTTAATATGCAATCTTTTTGTTATCATTTATAACATCAGTCACAGAAGGACTTAATTTTAACACTTCAGAGAATGTCTAGGCATCTTAATGGCGAGGTTTATAGTCAGGTGCATGACAACAACTTATTACCGCTGAGAACAGCAACCTGCAAACTTTCTGTTGAACTGTAGTGATGTTTAAGAAGAGTTGAGCTTGGCATATTTGCTGAGCGACTATGCTGTAATTCATTCCTTGCCTGTCCTCTGTGAGCAGACCCTAAGATCGATGGCTACGAGAGATGGTGGCTGAAGATTTTGGGGCAATTTTCCCCCACAGAACTCTAGAATTTGGGTTAAAGCTGCATCTGACAGCATGTTTACATGCTAACAGTGTGAATGGGAGGTAAATCTCTACACTCCCCAGTGTTCCCTACTGTTCAAATTTCTGGTCTTTTTGGTTTTTTTGAACACAACTCATTTTCTGTACATTATGAATGATGTACATTGATTAGAATCTAATCGCTGGTTCAGTATGACCTATACCTCATTCAAGTGGATGAGTAGTGACTAGGAGAAAGCATTATTGGTACAGAAAAGAACTATTCATAACTAGTGTATATTGCTAAATAAAAACCAAAGCAAATGCTGTTAAATTAATCTGAATAGGTACATTTATAATCACTTTGTGAAAGGGTGGGGAAGCTCACGTTGTTTTTCCTTGGGGTTTCTTCAATCTAAAAAGAAAACAAGGAAAATTTTATATAAGGGCCTATGTGGATGCAACTTAAAATACATAAAAGTCAGGAAATTTGAAGCTGTAGCAAAGTAAAACAGCCAAATTGTGTTTATTCATCTTAAAATGTGATGGCATGAATAAAACATCATCTGTTAGGATGAAAATCACTGAAAGGAAGATGGTAAAAGAGGCCCAACTTGGACAGTATTTGGGGAGAAGGGGATATTATGGTCTGACAGGCTGAGATTTGGAAGAGGGTAATCATCTCTATAAATAGATAAAGAAATAAATAATAAGGGAAATTGTATGAGCATAGGAGACTTAAATTTTCCAGACATAGACATAAATACCATCAATAATAGCAAGGTTTAGATATTCTTAGACACTTCAGAAGTCTGACTTTTTGGTACAGAAATTCATAAAACAACAAAGTGTGTGCTATTTTAAGCTTAGGTTTTTTGTGTGAGGAGGATCTTGCAGAACAGCTGACCGAAAGCCAATGTTCTAGGAGAAAGTGATCATGAATGGATTCGGTTCTTCTTAAATTGCAAGATGCGCAAAAATAAATCTATAGCTAAGGCTTGGTATTTTAGAATGCCAAACTTTTAGAAAATAGAAAAATTAGTGAATGAAGATGACTGGCGTGAGGAACTTAATGATTTGAATGCAGGAAAGGATGGATTTACATTAAGAATGGAAATAACCTGTGCATGCTGGGCAGGAGGGAGAAATTGTAGGAAAGGGCTAGAGTCTCTGAATGTATAAATAACTAAAGCAGGACACTAAGAATAGGTACAAAACGCCCAAAGAGTGAGAAGAGGCCTTGATTATCAAGGAGAACTTTTTTTCAGGCATTATAAAATACAGAAGCAAAGGAATGATGGATAAAGGCCTTGCTGAACTGTACCTTGCACAGAAAAGTAAAACAAAGCCGTAATTTTTTTAGCTACTCGAACAATAAAGAAATAAAGCAATGAAGTGAGGCCGTGGCAGTGACCTGAAGGGTAAGTTGGGCATGCCTACATTATTCTTGATGTAGAGCTTACCTGTTGTTGAATAAATGCTTTTCCCTAATTTCAAGGAAGTTGATGTACATGAAGATATTGAAAGGATAGCTAAGGAGAATGACGATAAATCAATGGGAATTACATGATTTGAAAGGGAAGTCAAATATATGTAGCTTAGCGTGACAATATCATTGAGTCCATATTATCTTCGTTCTAGTGTACTGAAGACACTGGCAGATGGAAGCACAAGTAGAAAAGATTTTAAATAGATATCGTTCGGAGATAGCACCAGATGACAGGGGTATGCAACGATGCATTGGGCAAATATGCCCAAGAAGAGGGGGAAAAAGTATGTCAAGTTGATTTCATGGCTGTTAATTTGACTTCAGCACTGTGCACATTTAGAACGGATTTGAAATCCGCCAGGGGAGGTTTAGGTTAGATATTAGGAAAAACTTCTTCACCGAGAGGGTGGTCAAGCATTGGAACAGGCTGCCCAGGGAAGTGGTTGAGTCTCCATCCCTGGAGGTATTTAAAGAACGGATAGATACGGTGCTTGAAGACATGGTATAGATGGACTTAGCAGTGATAGGTTGACGGTTGGACTCGATGATCTTAAGGGTCTTTTCCAACCTTGACGATTCTATGATTCTATGAAATGAGTGATTAAAAACACATATGAAAATTAAAATGGGAGAAATTACAATGGGATTATCTGTGATTAAAATCATTACTTTTGGGGATTGTTTAGAGTTTTTGGTTTCTTAGACCAGGTTAACGTGTCAGATCTAGTATATTTAGATATTATATAAAATGCTTATTGCGGGTCCTCATAGGAAACTCATACTTTAAGTGGAAATGATGCAATTCAGTATAAAAACTCTTAAATTGGATAAGAAGCTGGATAAACAGAGACAACAATAGGGTATATTACAGGTGGTGTTATTTGAGAGGAGGAAAGTTGCTAGTTGTCTTTCTCAGGGATTAGTTTTAGGAACTGTCAATATGTTTATTAGTGTCCTAAGAGCAAGAATTCGGTGTGCACTCATAAAATTCATGGGCAACACAAAGTTAGGAGGTTTTAATATTGTTGAGAAGGACTCACTCATCACCTGAGAAGAGTAAGACAACTTTGCTGGCACAGGTAATATGAATAGGATAAAATTTAGCAGTCCTCCCCCTGTCCCTTTAAAACAATGCATAATTTTGAGTGTAAACACAGAACTGATTAATTGGAAATGCTGAAGACTGGAAAATGCAAGTATAAAAGCCAGGAAGGTGGCTTTGTGGGAAGAGCTTATGCAGTTCTACAATGGATATGGCAAAACATTTTTAGTAGAGCTACAGAAGTCTTAGTACCATTGGAGAGGACCTCCTCTGGAATTCTGTGTAAAGCACTAGTCATCTGTATTTAAGATGGGCTTAAATCAGAATTTATGCAGAGAAAACCTGTTTGGATGTTGAGAGCAATGAGTATCTGTCATACAAAGATAAGTTTTAAATTTCACTTGTTTTGCTTGGCAACACAGTGGCTGAGGAATATGATGATTCTTTCTCATACAGAATGTAAGTAACAGAGAAGGAAGAAAATGGTAGCGTCAGCACATGATCACAGGTCTGTAAACTGGGTCACGAGTAATCGTAGTCTCAATTTAAAAGATTTCCAACTATCCAAAAAGTGATGTTCAGAAGGGATCTTCCAAATTCCTACAAAGAATCAGCATTATTTTAAGATAGATCTTTAAATGCTGATCAAACAGATCATAAAAAATGAGCAAAGTGCTCTTAGATATAGAAAATTAAGATTGTTTGGTGAGTTCTTGAACATATACTGAGCTGGTAGCATCAATGAGGTTTGAAAAATGTGTCTGTTTGGCACTTTGTTTACACTGCATTAAATCCATGCTTTTGGGTTCCCACTGGTCACTCGTGGAGGCTGAGGAGGACTTTTTTCTCCACTCAGAGTACTAAGTAACAACTGGTTTCTTGTCTGATTTTTCACCTCTTTCTTCTGAAGCACTGGAATTTGGTCAGAGCTGGAGACAGACTGTTGGATGATGTACACTGATGTTCCTAAAAGACTGACATTCCTTGAGTATGCCTCATACATGTGTCTTGCTCATCTGACCAATGTTAAAACTATTGTTGGATGTGGAATCAGGATGTACTTCTCCTCCAGACATATATTACTCTATGTTTACTACTCCTCCTTCTCTACTGCAGAGCGTGGCCAAGGCCACTTTCTCAAAATGTCTGGGAGCTGTCTTTAAGAAATCTTTCCATGCATCCCATCAAAGTAACAGAAGAGTTTCTTCTCATTAAGAATGCATTAGTTCAGTCTATCACCATTCCAATTCTTTCTTGTAGCCTTTGAAATGTGACACTTCATTGCTACCTCCTTCTATTTAGCAGGCAAGCTGTGTAACTAAGCAGACAGCACTATTTTTTTATAGGGACATGACTCTTTCATTAGACCCCCAAATCCAGTGAAGACTAATGAGTGAAAATGGACAGGGAGGATTTTTCTCAACAACTTGTGCAGCTCAGCCGAAAGACTGCCACGGAACAAATCAGCTGAAACTCTTTCAGTCATAATGAATGACAGTAATGAAGCCTGAGTGTCAAAAATGCATGGGAATCATGAGTAAATTTATCAGAGTAGACTAGAACACAAACTTGCACACATCTCTCTGCAGATAGAAATGGGCATGTTTTGGAGCAACAGATAACTGATATCTAAAAACTTTGGGTAATCCTTTTGGCGTTCTTGGGATTATGCAGGGACACAGCAATCATCAGACAGATTCCTCAGCTGAGGTGAATATTTTGAAGGAAGCAAGTTCCTCAAAGCATTTCCTGCTTTGTTTTTAGAGGCTGGAGGAGATGGCCGTGACTGGACCTGAACGCCAGAACTGTGTGGTGTTCCATTCACCACTTCAGTTTCCCCATCAGTAAAGTGTGGAATAAGGTGTCTTAATCCTTTGCCTCAGGTGTGTTTGATAGCTGACTTAGGTGATTGATAATGGTTGGAAGAGCCAAAGTCTGCCAGGT